GTCTTAAAGGGACCTCAACTTACAGCGACACAGTCCACAGGCTAGGTGTCCTACAGGTAGTGTAGCCTGTAAATTGAGGCACAGAACAAGCAAGGCAGCCTCACAGTGGTCCGATGATCAAAGAGCGAGAGACAAGAAAGGCGAGGCTCGCTGAGCCATTCATCTCTCTGCCCTTCAATTGATCCCACTTGTGTTTATCGGCCAGGTTGGCACAGTAAACTATCTCACAACTCTTTGGGGCCTTAATTGGTTTATAGTGAGGTTCAAATTCAGTATTGAAAGTGGTGTATTGAAATCCCCAAATATTACTGTGGAATTGTCTGTTCTTTAAGTTTTGTCAGTATTTGCATCACATATTTTGGGGCACTGATGTTAGGTGCATAGGCACTTAAATTGCTGTATCCTCTTGATGTGTTGCTCCTTTTATAATTACCCTTTTTTATCACTTATAACTTATAATTTTGTTGAATATTAATAGGGTCTCCATGCTCTCTTGTGGTGTCTTTTATGGGTTTTTATTATTTATGCTTGCATTCTTTCACTTCCAATGCATTTGTACCCAGCTCTTCTAAGGCCTTGAGAAAAACAGGAACACTGGAAATGATTTGGTTTAGGTTGACCAAAAGTATTTCTTCTAAGAGTCAGGCTCTACATGCCTGGAGATAAGGAATAATTCATGCAGAATTTCCTGCCCTCATGAGAGTGAGTATATGAGGGGCCACCCCCCAAAAACCATAAGAAAGCTACGCTGGGCTGAGCTTTCATAGTACAGTCAGCAGTAATGATGTGGATGGAGTAAAGCCTTTGGGATCGTCATTTGTTGATAGGGCACGACTCAAAAGGATAATAGCTGCAAACATCTATTAGAACTTGGAACATATGACGCATACATCTAGGGAAATGAAGTTAAGAGTAAAGACCGATATTCTGGGCATTAGTAAGCTGAAAAGGACTGGCATTGGCCATTTGGAACGGCAGGAATAACACAATCGAGGAATCATGCTGCAGTCATTGCTAAGAAGACCTCTCGAGACTCGTCTTTGAAGGCAGTGCTGTGTGTGATTGTATGGTATCCATATACAAGGGAATTCAGTCCATAGAATTATTCAAATTTATGCACCAATCACTAATGCTAGTTATGCAGAAATTCTGGAGTTCTACCAGTGTCTTCAGTCTGAACTTGATCAAATGTAATCACTATTGGTGGCTGGAATGCAAAAGTTAACTTTTAAGCAGGAGTAGAAAGTGCCATCTTTCTCCTGACATGGCTTCGAACTGCTGACGCATGGTGTAGCGTGGAGGAGAACGGAAGCGTTCCCCAGCTAGGTGTGGCTCTGAAACTAGCCTCATTTTAGGCGTATCAGAAAGAGCTCGGTGTTGCCCCAGGTTGCATGGGCAGACTAAGGGTTTGAACTTTGGCAACGGAGAGGCAGTGGTTGAAATTATTCCAGTCTAATACGTGCTAGCATATGATCTGGGGCAAGTTTCTTAATTTCCCAGACATTTTAACTTCTGTGAAATTGGGATACTAGTAACACCCTCATAGCATTTGTGCTGTAAGATTAAATCAGATAGTTTAGGAAATGGAGGAGGAAGCAAAAAAAGACGTTTAAAGCGCTAAAGACTGTCTGGTTTGTAACGATATTACAAACCCTCAGTTGATATTAAGGCTCATGCCCATTTACTTACAGAATGGTGATGATATCCAGGGGGTACTTTACCAATTTCCCCAATTCTTCAGAATCCACTCTCTTAATCACCTGAGCTTTGAGCAAGGAGGGTCTGGGAGTCTAGCTGGGGAGAGTGGCCTCAGTAGATGGCCTTGCACCTTAGTTTGCCTAAAGGGCCCCATTGGACATGTTCTTCCAACGTAAACCCAGAAACCTGATCCTGTACCGTTTAGCGGTAGCCAGCAACCAGGCATCTTCTCTAATTAGTCTTGACAGACTAATTTTTCTCAAAGAGGAAGGCAGGAACGGGTTGCTTTTTGCTTTAGAAGTAAAGGCTCACTCTCTAAACACTCCTACCCACCACCACCCCATCTCCTGATTCACTTGGTAACTAATTCATTTGGTAAGTGAATTAATCCCCACTGCTTGATTTGGTGAGGGAATCAGTTTTTGCATTCGGATGATCTGAGCGATGTCTTCAGCTGACTGGACGCTTGGTGAGGGAGCCATCTTGTGTAAGCATCGAGATCTATTCTCTTTGATAAGCAAGCTGACAGATTTTAGTGACGTTTCATAAGGCATGTTATGTTTTCGATTAATAGAATAAATTTGATTTCTCAAAAGACCAAATTTGTTCCTAAACGTAGGAGGAAGAATAGTCTCACTACACCTCAGAATGACTTACTTGTGGATGGGAGACTTGATTATTCCCTATTTTTTCTGTTTCCTATGGTACAAGTCATTTTCCTGACGATCGGTTTTCTTTTAGGTTAGAGCAATAGCAAAAGTTCCAGACACATTTTAAGAAGCTGTCTCCCCACCAACAGCCACACTGTACGAGGCGGGAGAAGGGAATGGGTAAGGGTAGAGTCTTTGCGGCCAGGTTTCTGGGCTGCTATCTTGACTCTGCCTTTCCCTGGCTGAGTGTCCTTGGGCAACAGTTAGCTTGTCTGTGTTCTTGTGGGGTATTTGTGAAAATCCATCCAATTGATAGAAGTCACGATCTTAGAAACAGGATTGTTGCTCGTTGTCAGTTTCAACCCACAGTGACACTGTCGAACCGGGTGAAGGGCGATCCGGTCCTGTGCGGGCCTCACAGTCGTGACAATACTTGAGTCCGTCATGCCACCACGGTGTCACCCCATTCCCCTGGAGGTCTGGCTTTTTTCATGTACTCTATCAAGCATGCTGCCCTTCTCCAGGGATTGAGCCGTCCAAAGCATGTGGTCAGCCTTGTCATCCTCTCTTCCAAGCAACATTCTTATTCTCCTTCTGAACAGCAAAGATGGGTTCATTCCTCTGGAATGCCAGCATCATAATTCTGCAGCATCAGTTCTGTCTGCCTTATTGGTTGCCCAGCTTATCCATGAACAGGAGGTGACTGCTGAAAGGTCATTGTTTGGGTCAGGTGCACCTTACTCTTCAAAGCGCCATCTTCAAATAACTGCAGCTTTATTTGTTTGGTATCTAATGGAAGGTGCCTTCGTGGCACATTAGCCTGGCGCTAATGGAAAGGTCAGAGGCTCAGTCCCACTAGTGGCTCCATAGGCAAAAATGACTGGCGACATGCTTCTATACAGATGACAGCCTTGGGAACCCTGTGAGTGGTCTGCTCCGTCCCGCAGGGCACTATGGGCACACAGTAACAGCGGGCTCGCCAGCCCCAAAGCACAGCCACCAGCTTTTGAGATGCTCTGCAGAGCTCCTTTCCCCTTTTCCTACTTCACACATCCACACAGAGCGGGGCTCTGTCCTTTTCCTTGATCTCCAATACCGTCCATTCATCGATCCCTATAACGTGTATCCAATCTGGATTATGCTTGTACATCTGAATTTGTACATCTCAAAGGAAAAAAAATCCAGCAGGGAAAAGGAACAGGTAAACTTTGTTTCCTGCCAGCAGAGGGTGCCATAACATTTCTAGTGACGTGAATCTTCTGTGCAGAACGATGGTTTTTTTTCTTTAGGCGTATCTGGTGAGAGCTTCTTCAGGATACTGACATTGAGGATTTCCATTGTTCAGATAGAATAAGGACATAAACTAACATCGGAATGCAGTCATTGATACTTAAAGATATTTCACATCTGCCTGTTTGTATCCCTTGGGCCAGTTTTGGGAGAGTGTATGGTCAGGGTTATGTGCTAATATGATGTCCCTATGCAGTGTTGGATGGGCAAGACAAGAGGGTGGAGGACCAGTGGGAGCCGTGGGACAGGGGCGAAAGTCCTGGAACCGGCCGCACCTCTCCTCAGAGGATGAGGCTTTTGGTGCCACGGGGAATCTGCAAGCTAAGCAGAGTCAGCTGGATGACAGTTTTAAGCAGCAAAGTGTTTGTTTGCTGATAATGAACTGGTCACATCAGACAAACAAACATGCATACCATGGTGGGTTGGGGGGTGAGGGGTGTCCCAGAGTATGGCAGATTGTGTTTCCATGTGGTCACCCCACAATATGACACCCACTCTCTTTCCCCAAACAGCACTGCATGTGAAACCTGAAGGCCAGGGGACCAGTGGCTATGCTTGAAGCAATGCTGTCTAGACTAAGCCATGACTGGTCCCTCCTGGTAA